CCCCAGTCAATCTTAAAATCATGGGATCTGAGGATAGCTACAGATGTATCTGTGGGGGTGCCTGTAGTGAGGCATTGTGGCTTCCCTCTGACCCAGAAGGGAAGGAATCCCCCGCTGTGCCCAGGTGGGTGGAGTCAGACCGACCTCATCCCTCCCACTGGAAGTGGATAGGCGGGACAAGTAGTATAAAAGGCGGAGCCTCTAACTCAGTTGGGTCTGGAACAGTGAGGGAGACAGATGCATCCTGCTTGCTCCAGGCTGCTGACTTTGCTGCCGAGCCCAGAGATGCCATCCTTGCAGAGGAACCTGTGTCTGCAGGGCAGCTGATGGGACTGCTGCTGGCCACCTGCCCTGGGGAGATGGAGGACATCCCTTTGATCCAGATACAGCCCCAAGGAAGGGGAGGAAGTGGCCCAGGGGCAGCCGATTCCAGACTGGCTGTAGTGCTGCCTGAAATAGTCAGTGTATTGCAGCTGGATTCCCCATTGACCCAGTGGTGGACCACTCTGCCACTGTTAGGGCCCTGGGCTGGGACCCGGTGGAGTCTGGTGGGCCTGGGTCCCCCTAACCCCTGCCACCCCACCCTTAGGGTGGCAGCCTCCCCACTGTAGGCCAGGTGGCTGGTGTTTGCCTACCATCTGCCAGAACTAGGATGACCGGCTACTTGTTAGCTGTACCCTGCTTGAGAGCTGGAGCCCATAGACTGGTGTTTGCTCTGCCCCTGCCTAAGGGCCCGGAGCCTATAGACTATTTGGGGTTCAGCCCCACTAGACCAGTCAGGATGCTAACACCTGGTTTGCTAATTTCCTCCGATATTAGGCAGCGATCATGACAATGTAGTGAGGTGGTGTGGCCTCCCTCTGACCCAGAAGGGGAGAGATGACTGCAACACCACTACATGCCCCACAAATATATTACGGACACTTTAATGCATATTTTTGCAATTGTCCTAAAGTAACATGTTTCCAGGCTTCTTAAGTGAAATGTATCAGAAAAATAATGGTAATATTTCTATAGCTCTTTTCACCCAAACCTTCAATGCACCTTACAACCACAATGACAATTCACAAAGCTTCACAACATTTCTGTGGGGAAGGTAGGTATCATTACACCCCCTTTGTGGATAGGGAAACTGAAGCACAGGAGGTTTACTATCGGGGCGTGGGGGGGGGGCAGGGGAAAAAAAAAAAAAAAGTGGCAGAGCAAAAAAAACACCCTTCCTCCACAAGCGCTGGCGGGAGGCCCCGGAGATGCAGGGGGAGCGCGGTGCCGGGAGTGAGAGTCCGGCCTGGCCCCAAGCAGGCAGGACTCAGTCGGGCGGTAGGGAGAGTAGGGGGGCGGCCCGCGGGGCCAGGCAGCGGCTGTTCTCCCCCCCGGGCAGCGGGACTCGGGAGCAGCCGCTGCTGCAGCTCCCACTGCCGCGGGGGGAGGAAGCGGCCGATGGCCAAGCTCGGTGGCTGCGGCTCTGGCGCCCGGGCCCGAATCCCCCGAGCCCGGGCCTGCTGCGGGGACCCAGCAGCGTGCACGCTGCGCCCAGCCCCTGGCCAGTCGCGTCTGGGCTGCTGCCCAGCTGGTGCTATCCTGCAGCGGACCCGGAGTGGGGGCAGCAGGCCCCAGCCCCCCGTCCTGCTCGGGTCCCGCAGGGGAACGAACGGGGCTGGGCTGCCGATGCCTGCTCGGGGCCAGGCCGGACGCTCACTCACGGCACCGTGCTCCCCCTGCATCTCCGGGGCCTCCCTCCAGCGCTTGTGGAGGGAGGAGGAATGGTGAGCCTGGGGAAGAGGTGGGGATTTGGGGAGGGAGCCAATGGGGGAAGGAGGAGGCAGAGTCGGGGCGGGGTGGCGTGAGCACTTCCGGGCTCCGGAGCATTTGCTTGTTTGTCCAGTGTCCCGACCTAACATCGGTCGGGACGCAGGACAAACAAGCAAATATCGGGACAGTCCCGATAAAATCGGGAAGTCTGGTCACCCTAAGGAGGTTACATATCCTACACAAAGTCACACAGCAAAGCAGCAACCAAGCAAGACTCCCAGCCCCAAGTTTTAATCACTGGAAACTGCTCCCTCAAATAGTGCAATTGATTCCTCTTCAGAATCTTTTGAGTGCTAACTTGCCACTTTTAACACATCAGCAAAATGTAATACTGTTAGCTTGTGCCAGAACAATGTACTGCTAAATGCTATCTGGATCCTAACCCTCCAGTAAGTAAAAACTAGTTGAACGAGTTTGCAACTTGCAAAAAAACTGGAATATTAATTTTACAAAGTGGTCTGCCTATTGATCTAAACTTGATATATCTGAAAAGCACTTAAACGTAGACTCAAAATCCACCTTATGCTGATCTTCCAGAACACATTATTGACCTCTGTTTCCATGTCTACTCAGTGATGTATCTTGTTTCCTCAAATATGATTCTACCAAAACTCAGTAGGTTATCATCTTTGTGCCTGATTTGCCCTTTGCCTCTGTTTGGTGCCCTTGAACACTGTTTGTACACTGTGTTCAGGTATTCTGAGTTAGGCCTGGTGTACGCTAGAGGGGGGGATCGATCTAAGTTACGCAACTTCAGCTATGTGAATAACTTAGCTGAAGTCGACGTACTTAGATCTACTTACCGCGGTGTCTTCACAGTAAGCTGGTGCTCTCCCGTCGACTCCGGAACTCCACCAGGGCGAGGTGGAGTCGACGGGAGAGCGCTCAGCAGTCAATTTATTGCATCTAGACTAGACGTGATAAATTGACCCCTGCTGGATCGATCGCTGCCCGTCGATCCCGTGGGTAATGTAGACAAGCCCTCAGGGTGAATGTATTGATGTATTCATTGGTGTACTGACATTTTTGGGTACAATTTCTTCAGTGTATTTATGTGAATTTTAGTGCTCATGACCAGTGCCCTGCTAACAGCACTGGAGACTCAATTTCTCTGTTTATCCCCAGAACAGATACAGCATTGGCAACATTAGCATAAACTTGTTCACACTTCCCTGCTAGTGTGCTTGGACAATGATGAGAAGGGACCATCTCTAGGGTGGAGAGGATAGTTCAGCCCCCATTCCCCCCTTTATTCCTTGCCTGCCCTCTTTACTGTTTTCCTTTTAATGATTAAAGGCCCAATCCAGCTCCCTCCAAAGTCCACAGCAGTCTTTCCATTGATGTTAGAAGGAGTTGATCAGGCCCTTTATTGTTGTGAAACTTCTGTATCATTCTGTTTCATCATACAGTTATAATTTAAAATATCCTCCATATGCGTTGTGTTCTCTTATGAGTATATCCAAGTCAAAACTGGATGAAATAGAAGATGGAACATTAGCAACTTCAAACATCTTGGCACAATGGGAAAATATTGGGTTCTGTTCCCAGCTCTCTACCGACTTGATGTGCAACAAAGATCCTAGCCAGCTCACCACTGTGCCTCAGCTTCCTCATCTGTAAAATTTTGATATTTGAGATCATTAAACAAAAAGTGCTATATAAGAGCTAAATGTTATCAATAGGTAGGGCTAATTAACCAATTGTCTTTAAATTTTTCTTAACACAAAGAATAAAATCATTTTTAACTTATACCCTTTAAGAATAATTGAATTTCCACCAAATTTAGGCCTTGATCCTATAGCATGAAGTCCATATCTGCCCATATGGTACAAGTCACATGATAAGGGTCTTTGCTGTAAACATAAGATTTCAGCTCTGATCCCATATTCAGTGTTTATTTTCAAAATGTGTGTCCTAACTGCTGCAGCAATTTAGATCTGTTAACACTGTGCACGTATGGTCTGTATTTTTCAAAGGTGACTAGTGATTTTGGGTGCCCAATTTGGGATACCTTTAAGGAGCCTGATTTGCAGAAAGCATGAAGCATTTGTTCCCAGAAAATCAGGCCCCTTTAAAGTGTATCAAGTTGGGCACTCAAAATCAGTAGCCCTATTTGAAAATTTAGGGTGTGCTTAATTGAATTATGCTTTAAAATTATGTATTTATACTGTACACATGCAGCATATTTCAGTATAGCATTTTAGTCTGTGTCATGAAGTAGTAACTGCAAAATGTATTCCAGTTAGCTTGGACAGAATACTGTCATCTGGATTGAAAACTGGCTAAAAGATTTTAAATAAAGAGTAAAATTAAATAGCAATATATCAAATTGTGGGCAAGTGTCTAAACAGCTACCCTGAGATCTGTGTGAGATCTGGTCTTAGTACTCTTGTGCATAGGAGGAGTTTGCAGCATGCACCTTTTTTTTAAAGAAGGTGCTGACTGCTTCCTGGATGTGCCAGGCCCACTCTGCGTTTCAGTGTGAAGAGGGGCAGGTCCATTTTTTCCCCCTTGTGGGGACTCACAAGGGGAGGAAGGCTTCTTTGCATTCCCTCCTGACACCCACCCACAGGCAGGCCAGTTGCAATCTGTGCCCAAGATTGTTCTTGTGATACAGAATTATAACTTCACTTGGGACTTTTTAATATTAAGCACTAGAAACTGTATTGTCAGGAACAGTCCTGTACGTACTAGGTGATCTAACAAGTGTTCTCTATATCTGACTTTGATAATTCTTATACTCAGAATGCCATTCCAATTTCTATTTGTCTGGCTTCCATTGCCACCTCATCCAAATCACTCATTTCAAAACAAAACAAAACACTTATGCAGCATTGCCTATGAAAAATGAGTTCGTTTCCACTCCAAAAAGCCTTGAATCAGCATGATGTATGTATGCATGTAAAACTGAGTGTCCATACAGTCATGTAACTAATTCATGCCCCTCTTTGCCCCTCCCTTTCCTGATATATGTTACATCTTCACTTGTCTGTCAAGCCCATCATTTATTTTTTAAGCAATTCAGGACAGGCATCTGTCTTTTTTATTTTTTTTCCCCTTTTGTGTTTCTGTGCAACATCTAGTACATTTGTGAGTGCTGTTCAACAGTGATTCTGTGCTGTACAACATGAGGCCACACCATACATCATTGTCCTGACTTTACAACAATATTGTTTTTTTTCCCTCAGTTCCACTTGCAATTCCTAGAACATCAACAAGCCTTCCAAAAATTTTACAGGAGCGGATCTCCTTTATTCATCAGTACAATGCCAGAAAATCTCCTAATGAACCCATCCGAGGAAAGGTAAGACAATGTGCATCCTGTATGATTAATAGCGTGCAGGAAGCTGGAGGAGTACGTTTATTCACAAACTTCCGACTAACTGTTTTAAAAGTAAGAAATACTATCTCACGCTTTAGAATTGCCAGGATTTATTAAAAAGTGTCATTAATATTATAACTTAAACATGTCATTCTGTGTTTATGTGCATCATAACACTGTGGTTTCTGGCACCTATAATAATAGATAAATGCCCTAATGATATATGACTCAGTTTGGATTTCCAATAGGTCTGTGTCCGCTCTCACTTACATCTGAGGTCAGTGGAATAAAAATGATGTGCGACTGGAACCAGGCCCTGTGGTATTTTGAATGTGTATTTTGAAGCCATTCCATAAGTAAATGTCCAAAAGTTTTGTCAGTCTTTGTTGCCTACAAGTTTTTTTGTGTGTGTTTCTTACACATCAATAATTAACTGTGTAGGGGCCTGATCCAAAAGCAATTGAAATTAGTGGAAAGACTTCCACTGTCCGGTAGCTTTGAATCAGGCCCAAAATGCAGAATTCCATTGTTGGAAACATTTTGAAGAGTACAGCCCATTGTTTGTTCCCTCTTCTGTTTATAAAAAAGAGAACCTTTCTGTGCGACCTTAATGGACAAAGTCATTTGGGTTCCAATCATAAATCTCCTGGCCTAAAAAGCAGCAGTTTAGAATTGTATCCATAGCAACCCATGTAGCAAGAAATGAAATCTGAGCTGATTAGACTTGCACAGGAGAGCTATATGCAAGTCACACACTCAGAGTGACAGAATGGTTGTGAACCAGAGAAAATAAGATGCATTTTTTCTTTTATTTGTTGTTTCTCTCCAAGTTTTCCTGCTATGCCCCATTTCATGAATAAAAAAGGCTAACAGGCCAGTCACTATTCCATTGCCTGCAGCTATTGGGAGGGGACCTAGGCTGATGGCCGGTAGAGAGACCAAGAAATAAGTGGATGTTTTGCCAGCACTTGAGCTAATAAATGAACTCAGATCACAGCTGTTTTTACTAACTGCTTATGCTCCCCTGGTTAACGTCAACCTTGTTTCCCTTTCCAGCGACATGGAGCTTTTGTGTGGACAGAGATAAAACCAGTGAGTGGGCCAATAGTTCCTCAGGGAACAGAAGTATTCCTGAGTGCTAGAGGGTCAGGCTCACTGGAACAGCCAAAAACAGAGAAAGGAAACTCAGTGGAAAGCCAAATGACCTCACCCAGTCTCTGCCTGCAGAATTCCCAGGAGACATTAGGCTGTGAAACTCACTTATCAAAACCAGACGTCAGAGAAGGAGCCAAGGCATACCCCAGAATCCCTGTGAGAGCACAGAAGAGTTCAGACATTTCTCAGGCAACTGAAGTGGACGTTATCCGTCCTGCTGGGGAAGAGTCTTTATGTCCAGCAATGAAAGGTCCTCTAGATAAATCTCTGGATAGGTTACCTCCCGCACATAAAAACATACGACTCCCTGATATCACCATCAGTCACTAAAATGAAGAGAGCCTACAATCACTGTGCAAGCGAATGCATTTGCTTGGTCTAATATCAATAATACTAAACACAAGCTAACAATTCACTGGTGTCAGCGGGAACACAGTACTCCTTTAACAAAACAACAGCTGCACTGTACTTTGATGTTTGTAGAAAACTATATGCCTATAAGAATTATGGGTGGTTGTTTTTTTAAGGTGGAATTGATTTCCTTGTTAGGAGGAACACAATCATCTTGATCATATATATTCTGTATTAAGTCTGACTTTGAGTTAATTAACACTTTTGGGTCTGGAAGTGATTATGATTCTTGAAAATGTACTTCTTTCAATAATAGAAACACTAGTTACAATGTTTGGTTTTATTGCTGATTGCTGTTATTTTAACATATATAGTTGTGACATGCATTATCTCCTTGGATGCTGCAGTGTGGGGTATGATTTCACACACCATATGGTGTCAGCTTGTGATAAATGGAAACCATTGTGCTTCCATAGGAAACAATGGCAGTCAAGAGAGAGAATTTGCTGTAGCCCACAGGAATGCAAAAATAATGTGTATTGCCACTCTAAACAGTTAACAAGGACAATTTTGGAGTAAACCCTTTCTTTCTTTTTGGGAGCAAGGAGGACAGGCATTTTCTTACAGACTTGTGCTTCTGTTCTTGTTTGAGTGTGTTACACATCAAAAATGCAGAAGAGATCTGAATTACTGTACGCTTTTCCCCAATACTAGAGAAAATCCATTAATCCAGAGACTGATGGGTAAACTTTTACTGATTGGACTATTTCCCTATTTTTTTTCATGCTGCGACTTCTTATGATTCCCAACAAGAATTCTCCCAGTTACACTCTTAGGGAAACACAGAAAGTTTAGGCTTGAGTTATAACCTACAGTTATTCATCAAACAGTGAAGCAAGTTATTACCTGTAGTTCTTAAACGGCTCCTCTTGTATACCGGAGAGGTTAATGTATGCATTTTACTTCAGTGAGAGCAGTAAAAGTTTAATGTCCAGCTTTCTGCTCTGAGAAGATATTATAACAATGTTATATGTTCTATATGTTCTTTTCACAAAGAATAATAGCAAAAACCTGGGGAAATATTCTTTGGAACTTATTTTGAAACAATATTTACCAAGGATTGGGCAGGTCCCATATATTATAGCTAAAAGTTAAAATGAACTATATAGTGCTGATTACTTGTTTTTGCTTGAGCTGACACTTTAGGGACCAAATTTGGCCTTCAGATATGCATACACAACTTCCACTGGTGTTACTGGCAGCTGTTTACCATATCAGAGGCAGAGTCTGGCTCTTTAATGTACATGCTAGTTGTAGTAGTTACATGTAATTCAGAACCTACCATCATTACTATATTAATAACATATTGACATTTGTGGACATAGATATTTATCTATTGGTCACAACTGTATCATAATATAATTATATTATAATTTTGTTTGTCCTAGTTCTATTCATTACAACTTTTGATTGCTTATATGATGAACTGTCCATTTGTAGTGAAGTGACAAACAAAGTGTGGGTGTAGGAAATTAGTTAGAAATGAACAAATAGGGTAAAACTGAAACATTTTCTAAAAATGCTAATACAGAAGGGTGAGCTGCTGGACTGCAGTACAGCCACTTTGGACTCCACTGCCAGTGGTTTGTAGCTATAAAGGAAGCATGCCCAGCATCAGAAGGATCACCCCAGTATAAGACATATGTTCGAGTAGAGTGCAGCCGTCATAGAAACTCGTTAAATCATTTCCCTTCTTGTTACTGACCTAGAGAATGGGGCTAGAGGAAAAAAAGCATGGCTAGAATACCCCTACCCTGCATTACCTTTGGCTGCTATTTCAACCTCTTCAAGCCACTAGTAGGCAAAGCAGATTAGAACCAGCATGTAGCTGGTTAAACAATCAGTGCTACTTTGTGAAGTGCTTTGAGATCTACTGACAAAAAGCATTATGTAAGTTAGGTATTTTATTTATTTATTATTCTGGGGGAAAAAGACTTTGCATACCTGACACAGAAAGCTCTAACCAATGCTCAAGCTTCTTCTGGACAGCAGACAGTTTTTCACATGAAGCAACAGAAGTCTGGCATCATTAAATTAGATATTTTTGTAAAACAAAGGAATTTTCAAAACAAAAACTTAGTAAATTTAGCTGTAAAGTAACAAAGGGCCATTTGAGAGGTGCTGTTAAGAAACAAAACACAAACATTAAAAACAATGGAAAAACATACAACGATTAAATAAATTCTGGCACTAGCCTAACCTCCAAATCACACATGCATATGTGAGTATGCAGATACACCATTAAACAGAAAACTCTTAGTGACCAGTTACCCAAACCAGCTTATTTTTGCCACTTCACAAGCCCCTGTACTTAAAAACTTGAATACCTTATTCATAAAAAATTGTATCCAAAACATCAACGATATTTTACAACCAAAGTCTGGCTGCATCTGTTTCTATCAATCAAAGTTTCTGTAACCTCCATCACTTGCAGTCTGAATAAATTAATTCCATGTGCCCTTAATTAGGTAAATAATCACTAGAGGCAAAGATATTCTTACATCATATGATAAAACAGTTCCCATTATATTAAAACAGAACTGTTCGTGTCTAAACAAACCATCAAACTTGATACACAGAACAAATAGTGTGTTTGTGTATATAGATATATTAAATTATCCAAATGTATAATACTAAAATGGTAAAGGATATAGTCAAAGGAAAGACCATCATTAACTGAAGTAGTTAAGTTCTTCTCAATTCACACACTACAGTGGAGCTAGAAGTACATAATTTTGTATCTATATAGTTCACTAACACCTGAGTACCTGTATTTTATATTCTTTCTGATGAATTATTCTATCTGAGAGCTATCTTTTGAATATATTAAACTTGTTCTAAGACTCTCTTGTGGATTTGTTGTAGCCATTTTGCTCCTTTGACCATGTACATTCTGCTGTGCAATTTGGGACTTCTACCATCTGCGCACACTTCATCACCTGTGTATTGAACACTTGTTGCTTCAACAAATTTCTTTCACATTAATGATACTTTTTATTTGCCTCAAGCATTAGTGAAAGCATTTTACTAGCTGTTATACATATGGAAAAGCATATTGTTTTGTTTAACTGGAAATTGTCTTTACATTTATTTTATAAATACTTTGAAAACATCTCTTCTTTCCAGCAAAGTTACCCATTGCCATTCATATGATAGATTAATAGATAAACATGCCAAAAGGAAAATGTAATGATCCTGCTAAGCCATCTTAACAAACCAGCTCATGATTAAAGTAAGCTCCCAGGTCTTCTGTAAGGGGAGAGAGTAAATTATGTCCATATAGAGATGTAAATCTCATTGAAAACCTGTTTCTTTTAACTGAGTACAAGAAATGTCAAAAGTCTGACCAAGCCTGGTTTGTTCCTTGATGGAGAGATAGTATCTCAATGTATAGCAATTGGTAGGTGCCCTCAAACACCAATTTAAAAGAGCAATAACTGCATCCATGGCATCAGGACAGTAGGTTGGTCTGAAAAAGATGGGACCCATCTATTTGCTAAATTACCCACTGCAACAGACCAGAGCTGTGATATGGGACAATTTTACTTAATGCACTTAGCTTGTTCCAATTTTAGCCAATGGCAAAACTTCCATTGACTTCAAAAGGTACCACATTGGGCTATAGGAAGCTAAATCTTAACTATCAACACTAGTATAAAATGTAGAAAGGGGCTGGGGTGAGTTCCTCACACTAGCCCTGTAAGAGCTGGGTTGGCGGGGTGGGCCCATTCAGCTAATTAGGCTGCAAACAGGAGAGTTTTAGGCCAGAGGCAGCTGGTTGGAACAAGGCTTACTTGCGCAGGAACAGGTGGGACCTAGAAAGCCAGGTAGTGGACCTACAGATTAGGCGGCTGAGAAAGGTAACAGGAAGGCAGACAACAGTCACTCTGGGAGGAGAGAGAAAAGTTTTGGAGCTGGTACACCCAGAGAGAAAAGGGGAACCAACATGGTAGGAAGCAGTGCAGGGAAGGAGCTGGGGGTGTGTGGGGTGGGCAGAGAGGCAGCCTAGTACTGCTGAGCTGAGGGTCCCTGAACTGGAACCCATAGAAGAGGATTGGTCCCGGTTCCCCTACCAGCTACCAAGCGTGTGGCATAGAACTGAAGCAGCGAATGGGAAGACTGCCTAGGACTACTGATGGACTGTACCACGGAAGGGGGCACGCTGAGTGACCTAGCCGGAGGGCTAAGTCACAAAGGAGACATTGCAGGTCCTGGAGTGAGAGGAGGTGCAGACCAAAGTCAGAGTAATGGCATCCTAACCACAGATGGGGGTGTCTACCTTTGAAGCTAATCCCCAGAGTGACTAGGAGGAGGCACCGGCCAGCGGTGAGTGGAGCACCCTGTGACAACTTGGTGGAGAATGTGGGCATTCAGTTGTCCCTGAGGGAAGGTACTGTGTGAGAGCCTGTGAAGGACTGCATAATGTGATCAGCCCTGATACAAGGGGATTGAAGACAGAGTTGCCCACAGTACAGATTTTCTTTATTGAGGGAAAATGTCCCCTACTAGGGTGGATGCCGGAGTTGCTGCTCCCACAGAGTAAAGCAGAGGAGCAGAGGGATGGGTCCATGCTATGTGGGGACAGATATCAGAGAACCAGCAGACTAGGGGAAGCCCAAGTGTATTTGCAAGACTGTATGGTGTGGGTAGCTGGTCAGTTGCAGTAGCTGTACAGAATCCTGCAGGAAAGAAGCAGGAGGAGACGTAAGGACCAGGAATGGGAAAGGCACTCAGGACTAGGAGGCCAGAGGTCCAACCCCGAAGGTGCTTTGGCTTAAGGAGTGGGGGGGGGGGACCTGAAGAGGGAGTGCCCTTATTTAGAGGGAAGAAAAGAAGCTTACCAGAAAGCAAGCACTGAGACAAGGGCCCAGAGAGTCCCATCCAATACGCAATTGGGTCAGAGGAGGAACTGCTGTTGGTGTGGGGAAAAGGGCCATATAAAGAGGCATTGCCTTCACGGGGAAAAGAAAGAGAGCCAGGAAAAGCACATGGGTCCAAGCCAAGAGAAAAGAAGAGCCAGGGGCCCATAAGGAGCCCAGAAGAATGGTGGAGAAGCCCAAGAGGGAGATAAAGATGTGAGGTGAAACTGGGAGGAGGATTTTATAGGTCTTTATCATATCTCTCCTTAGTCATCTCTTTTCCAAGCGAATAGTCCCAGTCTTTTTAATCTCTCCTTATATGGAAGCTGTTCCATAACCCTAATCATTTTTGTTGCCCCTCTCTGTACTTTTTCCAATTCTAATACATCCTTTTTAAGATGATGCAACCAGAACTGCACAGAATGTTCAAGGTGTTTAGATTTATATTGTGGCATTACGATACTTTCTGGCTTATTATCTATCCCTCTCCTAATGGTCGCTAACTTTTTTGACTGCCACTGCACATTGAGCAGATGTTTTCAGAGAACTATACACAATGACTCCAAGATCTCTTTCTTGAGTGGTAACAACTAATTTAGACCCCATTATTTTATGTGCATAGTTGGGATTATGCTTTCCAATGTGCATTACTTTGCATTTATCAACATTGAATTTCATCTGCCATTTTGTTGCCCAGTCACCCTGTTCTGTGAAATCTGTTTGTAACTCTTCACAGTCATCTTAGGATGTAACAATCTTGAGTAATTTAGTATCATCTGCAAACTTTACCACCTCATTGTTAATACCCCCTTTTTCATGTATGAATATGTTGAATAGGACTGGTCCCATTACAGATCCTTGCAAGTCCCTGCTATTTACCTCTTTCCATTGTTAAAACTGACCAGCTTGCGCTGCTTCCCGCAGCTCCCGTTGGCCGGGAACGGCGAACCGCAGCCACTGGGAGCTGCGGGCGGCTGTGCCTGTGGACAGTCAA